GAGAGAGAGAGAGAGAGAGAGAGAGAGAGAGAGAGAGAGAGAGAGAGAGAGACGTAGGAAACGGCGAGAATTTCCGGTTACGACGCGATACTCGCGCGCTCCTTTGGAGAGTCAGCCGCGTGGAGGAATTCTACGGAACGGGGGAATCCCTTCGGTTTTCCCGCCGGTATGCATTTTTCAGCGGAATCTTCCCGACGCGCGGTTATTCGACACCACCGCGACGAATGAGCTCTCCCAACTGGGATCTTCTTCTTCTTCTTCTTCTTCTTCGTCTTCCTGCTTTTCCTATTCTTTCGATCTTGTTCGGAGCTAATTTCCCGCGGACTTGAGATTCCCGCGTCGCCGACCTGCCGTGAGAAGGCCGTCGTCTGCCAACGCGGAAAACCTGAGGGCAACCTCGCGAACTACAACATACACGTCGGGGAATAAGAAGGGTCAAACGCCGGCGGCACAGCGCGGAAGTCGACACGATTTCACGGCAGCAATTGCTGGTGGAGCTGCAGAATTATCAATGTTCCACCCCATCGAGAAAGTTATCGTTAGTTCGCATTGTGAGTATCGATAATTATTGCGATAGTTTTCTCTCGATGGTTCCCGAAAGAAATTAATAAAATGACTGCACCCAATTTGATTGGACGCCCTTTCCACCGTTGTATTAATTTGTCACGGCTAATTAGGTTCCAGTTTGTGTACGAAACAGTTGTATAAAATTAATTAAACAGCTCGTTGCAGGCCACCAGTGTACGACAGGCGTCTAAAACGTCTGCATATCCGATTCCCGATATTGCGTCACTGATACGCGATATCCAAGCGCGTTTCAGTCACTTACGAATACACATTTTCCAACTAGATTGACTTGTTAATCGAAGCGAAAGAAACAAATGCATTGATTGCTAATCAGAGGATTTTGTCGCGAATCGTTACCTCAGAACGAGATTCTGAAGAAAAAGGAGAGACCTATCGGAAACCGATTACGGTTACCGACGACGTAAACTATCGATAGTTTCCTACAGCCCCAGTAGCTGCGCGTCTCCTCCACCCTCGGCGTCTATGGGAGCCGGGAAGCTCGCGCGACTCCGCAGCGACGTCGCGAAGAAAACGCCTCCTCTTGCGGCCACGACACGCGATTGCTCGCGCACGCACAGTGGCTCCCTTTGAGAGCGCGCGATCTCAATTTAATAAAACGGATCTTCGATATTTCCGCGCGAGAGAGATAGAGCGTTCCGACTCGGTCGACCGCGTATCGCGGCGCGTTCGTTGTCCGGCGGCCGCAGTACGTATATAGGCTACGTTACTAGTTAGGCGCACGCAACGAACAAAGGTCGTCATTGATAGAAGTATGCCGAGTGCGGGGCGAGTCGAGACCCACGCGGGAGACCGCAACTCGCTCTGTCCCTCTCTCTCTCTTTCTCTGTCTTTCTCTCTGTCTCGCCTCACTTTACCTTGCCTCGCGTCGCGTCGCGATACACAGTCTCATACGCAATTAATTAGACATATCCGCGCGGACAACGAGGCGACATACATGTTCGCGCGTTATCGCGCGGGTGCAAAGACCCCATCGACTCCATTTGAAACGTATTAACGGAGCATTGTATGCCGAATGATTGTCCGCACAAAGAGAAATACGTAGAGGGAGAGAGAAAGAGTCGACCGCGGCGCGAATCGTTCCCGCGCGCTCGATATATGTTCCTCTGCCTGCTATTCCTATATCCCTCTTCTTCCGGCATTGTTTTCTTCACCGGATCTATTGTCCGTCCCGCCTCATTGTCGTTTTCGTGCCAGGTGGAAAGATTAACGCGCGAATATCTCGTAGCGACGGCGCGCGTCCTCTCCACCCCCCCCCCCCC